GGAAGCCACAGGAGTGAGTTCAGTTCCAAACCTGAAGGATAACCAGGGGCCATGGTCTCAGGGGTCTCACCAGGCTCTATCAGACCAGCAAACCTGGTCTGTTTTTTAAAATGATTTTGAGGTTTTTTTCCACATTGTTCTCCCACTCTATCCAGGATCTCCTGCACGATCTCCCTCCACATGGTTGACAGTGGTAGCTGGGCACCATCTAGCCGAGGCTATAAATCTTACTGAAGCAGACTGCCACATCTTTCTCTAACAGAGCAGCTTGTGGGTTTTAACCATTGACCTTTTGGTTAGCAGCCAAATGCTTTAACCAGTCTACCACCAGAGCTCCTTCACTATGCCCTGACCAGCACTGATTAAGTTCACAGTGAAGAGGGCAGCTATAGCTCAGCTGTGGAAGCAGATCCCATTGTGTATTGGCCTGATGTGGAGTCGTTTTGTACTGCGGCGAACAAAGGGTAGGGTAAAGAAGGGGCCAGTCTACCCACCCTCAAAGCCACAGGTGAGAAAATGGAGTTTCTCTTGAGCAAGAATTTCTTGTCCAGAAACTGCTCGAGGCTGAATCACATCCATATACCAAATTTGTTAATTAAACTGTTTCAAGATTTTGTTTTTTGTTTTCATTTCTACTGTTAACAGATGTTACAGAAGTGACCATTTTCCTGATCAATGCTTTTAACATCTGCTTAATTACTTTCTTGGGACAAATTCCGAGGGGAAATGATGGCTGAATCAAGAGTATTAAGTAAAAGCCTCTGTGGCTCTAGCTTGGCAATGGCAAATTGCTATTCTTTTTAGAAATTGGATCTATGTTTTTAGTTTGAAATGTAAAAGTGTGTTGATGAGCCCCTTGCTTGCTGAGGAAATCATTGTTTGGTAGGTGAAGGATCATTCTGGAAACTGGAAAAGATTTTAGCTTTTTATCTGCTTAATTTCTCTCAAGCGTTCAGGGACACCTGGACCACCTGTCTCCAGGTCAACTACTTTTGAACTCCAATCCTTTGGCGCCCTCTGCTGGAGAGTCACTCGTGAACCTCCTGGGGTACATGCATGGGAACAGGGAATCCCTGGGTGGTGCAAACAGTTTACATATTTGGCTGCTAACTGAAAGGTTGGAGGTTCAAGGCTACTCAGAGGCCTCTTGGAAGAAAGGCCTGGTGATTTACTTTTGAAAAATCAGCTATTGAAAACCCCATGGAGTGCAGTTGTACTTTGACACACATGAGGTCACCTCTGAGTCAGCCTTGACTTGGTGGCAACTGATTAACTGGTTAAGTGGGGGTAGGAAGAACCCGTTGAGAGAAGGCTTGTGGTGGAGTGAGATGGGGAGGGGAGTTCACATGTTATTCAAGGGCCCAGGTGGCACCTGTAGGCAGGCCAAGCCTGCACCCCTCCCCCTCACCTCCGGCTTAGAGTAAGGTCACTTCCACATTGCAGTCAATTATTTCCTAATAAACAAAGCTGGTCCTACTACTTCCTTCTTACCTCCCATCCACTACTCAACCATTGAAAAGTCCTCTCTTGGTTTTCCTCTGTGCACAGGATAAAGTTGCACCCCTAGCTATTCTTTTTAGAAAATGGATCTATGTTTTTAGTTTGAAATATAAAAGTGTGTTGATGAGCCCCTTGCTTGCTGAGGAAATCATTGTTTGGTACAAAGCCCTTCACAGGTTGTCTCCATCCTTACCCTCCAGCTTTGTTTCTTCCAGCTGATCACACACCCTGTGGACTTCATCCCCCACCTTCTCACATATACCCACTTCTTTATCCATTCCGTTTCCTCTGTCTGGAACATGTGGTCCTCCACTCTCTTTTTTGCAACTCCAAACTTTCTTCAGACTCTAACTCATTTATCTCCTCCTTAAGGAGGCCTTCCTCAACTCTCCAGGCAGAAGAAAGTATTCCTTCCTGGGCACCCTGAGTCCCCTGTTTGTGCCACTAAGCCAGTCTTGTTCACTGTGCATCGTGACTATGTGTCTTCTGTTCCAGTTACTTGTCCTCACCCTGTGAGATACTCATATTGCCTTCCAGAGGGCCTGGCACCCTGTTGACACTTGAAAAGTGTTTGTGGATGAATGAATGAATGAGTAAGTGAATGAATGTGCTTCCTTGCTGTGGATGTTGGGGGTTCATTAATTGCAGGAGGACATCCCAGGAGGATATATTTAAGTTCTACACTGGACTCCACCCAAGCCCTGGAGCTAGGAGGATGAGCTCTGCAAGGCAGGGAGATGGTTATGATGAACTTTATGATTCTTAGATGCTTTGGATCAGGCTTGGAGGGAAGGTGGGTCCTTGAAACTGGTTGAGATAATTCTAGGAAGCGAATGTCATGTGATGTCATCTCAGGAAGGCAATTAAAGCTCCATCCTGCTGTTGAGGAACCTGTAAGTGCCCAGCACTGATGATGGGCAGGATGGGCTTGGTGGCGGCACCCCTGGACACACAGTGGACTCTTGCCTGAGCACTGGGGAATCTCCAAGAGAAGCAGCAGGCTGGGCTGCGGGGGGCGAAGCACCCTTGCCACAGCAGAAATAGGTTAGTGCCCCTCTCAAGATAATCATGGGGTGTGGGGAAGGGCTGTGTTGGGTCTGTATAGATTCAAGAAAGCAGAAGTGGGCAATTTACCCATTTTAGAGAATGTGTGCAGTGTTGATGGATGTCCCAATAGCCTAACTATGGTCTCAAATAGGTTTGCTGCTGTCAGCTACCAGTTAGCCGGCCCGACTCAGGGTGACCCCATGAACAATGGAACAAGATGCTGCCTGGTTCTGTGCCATCCTCATGACTGATTGACACTCAGATCATTGCAATCCTTGAGGTTTTTACTGGATAATTTTCAGAAGTAGATCACCAGGCCTTTCTTCCAAAGGGGTATTAAAAAACAAAACAAAAAAAAAAAAACCTCACTGCCATTGAGTTGGAGCCTACTCATAGAAACCCCTCCTTGGGTTTCCAAGGCTGTATCTCGATGGAAGTAGATTGTTCCACCTTCCTTCCGAGGAGTGGCTGGTGGGTTTGAACTGCCAGCCTTCTGGTTAGCAGTCAGGTATCTCAGGCACTATGCCACCAGAGTTCCCAAAGGGGTATAGAACCCTGAATTATAAGCACACCTTTGGGGTTATTCCTAAAGACTTTGGTTAGAATTCAACCCAAGTGGATAGCTTATATGGTCTTGCAAAATTTGCTTAACCCCCCTAGGTTTCATTTCCTCAGGAAAATGGGAATAGTGATGCCTGCCTCATAAGGTCATTGTGAGGATGAAATGGGAGACTGCATATAAAGGGCTTAGGTCAGTACCCAGCTGGCTCCGTAAGTAGTAGAGTAGAACTGTCCCATAGGGTTTCCAAGGCTGTTATCTCTATATACGTAGACTGCCTCATCTTTCTACCCCAGAGCAGTTGGTGGATTTGAACCACTGACATTTTGGTTAGCAGCAGGATAATTTAACTGCTATACCACCAGAACTCCTTCAGGGGTGGGGAAGGGCTAGGGAACTATCTACCCAATCATTAAGCCTGGGTTCTTAGCTTGGTCTGTCTATGTACCTCTGAAATTGAATTGAAATTGAGGGCACCATTTTGAGTGTACGAGTTGTGGTTCTTATCTGCCCAGAATCCTGGGAATCCTGCTGACCTGGCACGGTATTCCTACTCCTGAAAGCAGAGGTCTCCAAATGGCATGAAGAGTGAGTGGTCATGGGCATTATGAGCCAGAGTGCATGGAGCACTGGGATGGGAGCTGCAGGGTGACCAGGGCAGGCTGTGGGCTTCTGCCTGCCAAGTGTCCCAGCTGCTGGCCAGCGTAGCGCACAGAGGCTGTGTGTGGGGGGTGGGGTGGGGGGGGGCATGGGCTCTCAGGGCTGCAGAAGCTGCACCGACTTTCTGTGTTCTCCTTTTATAGATGCTAAGACTGAGACCAGAGAGGGTCACCCTGCAAGGTAGTGGTAGGGGCAAAGATGAGAATCCCTGTAGGTGCATTCAGTTGAGAAAGAAAACAACATCACCCCATGTGACCAGGGTAGTATAATTATTTTAATAGTTCAATTGTGATATAAAATGATCTATTGACTGCTAACCAGAAGGCTGGTGGTTCAAACCCAGCAGCCACTCCTCGGAAGGAAGGTTGGGGAATCTACTTCCATAGTGATACCCCCTTGGAAACCCAAGGAAGGGTCTCTATGAGTCAGGTCCAACTTGACAGCACATAACAACAGACAACAACATGGTAGTGAGAAAACTACCTTCTCAAGGGTTTTTTTGTTCTTAAACATTTCCATTGGAAAACAACATAAAGACTGTGTCGATTTCAAGAGTCTTTCGTTGTTCTGTTGTTATGTGCCATAGAGTTGGTCCCGACTCATAACGAGTCTTTAGTATCTCCTAATTCTTGACTTTAGGTAACTCCTAAATTAAAACTAAAGAGGTCCATGGGTGGTATAAACAGTTTGTGTGATTGACTATTAACTTAAAGGTTGTCAGTTTAAGCCCATCCAGAAGCACTGAGGAAGAAAGGCCTGGTGATCTACTTCTGTAAAGATTACAGCCAAGAAAACCCTTTGGAGCAGTTCTACCCTGTAATGCACAGGGCCACCATGATTTGGAATCAATTCAGTGGCAATAGGCATGGATTTGATAAACCTAGAGTGAAGTTGGAAGGGAGGAGGACACAGCTCTTGTCCTCAGGAAGGTCCCAGTCTGACAGAAAAGACAAAGCTCTTCTCTGAGAGTTGGCAGCAAGGGTTCTTGCAGGTCAAGGATGTTAAGCCAATTTGCAAGGAGCCAGACTGAGGGCAGGGAGGGGACCTGAGACAATATGTAGGAATATGGGGAGGAAAGAGAGGATGGAAGATTCTGGAAGAAGTGCCAATGCTGCTGTGGGCTGGCCCAGACCAAGTGTTACTTTGTCTTTCTGTCCCCAGGTTCTCCCCTGCCCCCTGTGGCTCCATCCCCACGTCCCCAGAGCTGCCCTTAGCCCCTGGCCTGCCACCCACCATGACAGATACTCCTGTGGAAGAATCCCTCTTCCAAATCATCCACTGCTATCACCAGTACGCGGGGCGGGAAGGGGACGTGGAGACCCTGTCCCTGGAGGAGCTGAAGGCCTTGCTCATGGACAACGTGCCCCGCTTCATGGAGAGCTTGGTGTGTGGGGTCTGGGTCAGCCTGTGGGTGAGGAGAGGCCATATGGTGGGGAAGGGGACATGTGTAGTGTTGGTTATCTGTGGGAAGTGAGTGGTGAGGTTACAAGGAACCATCTCCTGTCCAACTTAGGAGAAGGGAGGGCAGGATCTGTGGCCAGAAGAAGGGATGGGCCTGGTCAGGTTTTTTGTGTTCTTTCCTTGAAATTCCCTGCATGGCCCCATTCCAGTCCAATCACAACTAATCCCTGAAACTAAATCCTAACCCCAACCCTATTTATTCCACTGTTCATCCTGTATCCTTAATACAGATCCCAAATCTACCTTTTGCTCACTTAGTGAACAGCCCTGCTTCATACCCCACACCCTCCTCACCAAGCCCTTTGGGCTTGGCCATTTTCCCGGGTCTAGCACAGCTTGGCTCCCCTGCCTCCTGTGCCTGGGGGTGGGGGTGGGGGGCTGGTTTAGGCTGTGGCTGCCCCTCTCGACCAGGTCGGGAGTAGAGTGTGGGTGAGGGTAGGAAAGTCAACCTTCCTCTCTGTTTCTCATCCGAAGGACTCAAGGACTCGCAGAGTCTCTCAGACCAGTTCTGGGAACAAAGGCCCATATCCTTCCTCAGACCCTGCTATCTCTGTCATCAGGCACAGCCCTGTGATTGCCAGACTCCCCAGGGACTGCAAGGCCCATGAGAGGGACATCTAGGGGTGGGGTGAGGCTTGGCCCTCTGTACCATGCCTGGGGTCTCTGGGGTGTGTCATCTTCAGAGGACTACAAGTCTATCTCCCTGACCTGAGGTCCATGAGAAGACCCTCCATTGGTCACTTCCCTTCTCCCCCTGTCTAATTTTGGGAAACCAGTCAGAAGAGATAGTCTATACTCAGTTCATTTGAGTGTAAATCTGAAGGTTGTGGAGGGGGCAGGGAATTCAGTGGGAGGTTACTGGGGTTGGTCTCCTATTTCTAGGGTAACCTTTTTCTTTCCAGTGCCAAACTGCCTATACTGTGGGCTCTGCCACTTGTGGGGCTCCCAGCTTCACCCAGGTGCAGGGCATTTGAATTCCAACACCTGTGCACTGGGCAGACAGACAGGAAGCCTGGGATGGTGGATTGAGATAAGGGTAGCTAGAGAGAGCCTACCCAAGATTGGAAGCCTCCAGCTCTTTTCTCATTAACCAGCTTTATAGAGGAGCTAAGATTATAGGAACAGTTGATTGTGGGGGTGGGGAGACGGGGAGAGCTGCTGCCAGCCTGCCCTCAGAGATAAGGAGCACACCCTGCCCATGGCTTCTCATAGATGCTCCTTCCTCTGCATGCTTTCTGGGGGTCCACACTGGGTCCTCCATATCCACCAGCCACCTCCCGCTGAGGCATGCTCCTCCTGCCACTATCCAGTTCCCCCAGAGCCCATTGCATCTTAGTCTGTGCCCCTACCCTTCTTCACACTGTCTCTTCTACCTCAAGTGTCTCTTACCTTCTCCTATATCACCTCCCCGGGCCACCTCCTCCTCTGGGACACCTTGCACAGTTCCGGGGTTTGTGGCTTTGCCCTGACACTCATCCTGCACCTCCCTAGGTGGGATGGCAGAGTGTGGCAGCCATTGCTAATCCCTAACAGATGTCATAGCCTGCAGCATCAACACCACCTGGTGTCTGCCCTGCTTGGTGTTGGGGCACAGAGAAGAACATGAGTTGACTCTGCCCTGGGGGAGCACCCAATGGGAAAGAGGGAGGTTCATCCCCTGCCTCCAGGAAGCACCTGATCAGGGAGCACACAGTTCAGCTGGGCAGCCAAGCTCAACAATTACTGATGGTAGACATAAAGGGGGTGTGGAGTCATCAGGTTGCCAGCATAGGGATTTTCAACAGTACTCAGTTTATACCCTCTGTCTGCATCCATGCAGCTTTGAGTCCATGTAGCTGGATCACCCACCCATACCTGTGCCTCTGCCTATTTTTCAGCCTGTGGGGTCCTTGTCATGACTATTCTGATTGTGGAGCTGTTTCCTACAAGCCTTTGCAGGCAGGACCATGCCATGGGTGTCCCCCTCAATCCCAGCAGATGACAGGGAGCCTTGGTAGGTGGGTGGTGTGCCTGGGTGATGTTGACCTCTGCCTGCTCCTCAGGGCCGGAAGGAGCCGTACTACATCTCGGAGTTGTTCCGTGCAGCAGACAAGAACAAAGACAACCAGATCTGCTTTGAGGAGTTCCTCCATGTCCTGGGCAAGCTGATGAGGGACTATCACCTCCAGTACCACCGGCAGCTCTGTGCTCACTACTGTGCCCAGCACGGCCTCTATTAGAGGGGCCGCAGCCTGCTGGGGCTGCCACAGCCTACATGAGCACTCTGCTGGGTATGTGTCTCTGTGTGGACAATCTTGTACCCATCTGTGGGGAGGATAGCTATGTGGGAGGACAATAAAGCAATATCATAAATACTTCTGGATATTAGTCAATTCTTGGCTCCAATTCATTGTTCTTTGTCTGAGGCGGGAGGCAACCCCTGCCTCCAGGGAGGCCCTGTCTGAGGGGAGAGATAGCCCATGTCTCCAGGGAGTTCCTGACTGGAGACACATAGCCCCTTACTCTAGGGAGGTGTTGTCTGAGGGAGTGGGCGGGCAGCCCCTGCCTCCAGGGAGGCCTGGTCTGAAGGTGGAGACACAGTTCTCGCCTCCGAGGAGGATTTCTCTGCGATGGGAGACAGCTTATGTCTCCAGGGAGGTCAGGAGAGGGGAGACACAGCCTCTGCCTCCGGGGAGGCCCTGTCTCAGAGGAGAGCTAACCCCTGCCCTCAGCTTTCTGCCTGAGAGGGAGAAGTCTCTTCTCCTGCGGAGACACTCTGCTAAGGAGTCCAGGCCACACTGGTGATGTATTTGATCATTTACTCATTCCCACCACATACATGATCAGATGGGAGCCCTTAGAGTAGTGGTGCACTGAACATGGCCCCTTGTTTGAAGGTCTCCCTGCTCTGAAGAAGAGCACTAAGGTATCTATACAAAAGACGGAGTGGCCTGGGCCTGGGAAGGGGCCATGATGGGGCACGGGAAGCATTCATAGCTGACAGAATAGCAGTAGAAATTTATATGGCATATCTTAGGACAGTAAATAGCTTGGTTGGAAGTTAGTGTCCGTGGAGAATCGTAGGGAATAAATTTGGAAGGGTGGTGTAAGACCAGACTCTGGAAATTCTTGGATGTTGCGCATTGGCATTTGGACTTTATTCTTTAGGCCATGGGATCCTGAGTAATTGTAAGAGTGGTGGAAGGGAGGTCATGTGACCAGAGCTGTGCTTTGGGAACAAGCTGGGAGCACAAAGCAGAGATGAAACAGGGCAGAGGTTAAAGACCAAGGGACTCAGGAGGCTCCTCTTGCAGCAGCTTGGGCTGGAGGCAATGACGCTGGGCTGAGTAAGTGGCTGCAGGGGTGGAGAGGAGGGAGTGGATACAAGAGACCCAGGACCTCGACTACTGCATGTGGAGGCTGAGGGGTGGTGGGGCACAGAATGAAGCCAAGGTTTTGGACCTTGATGACCAAGGCAAGATGATGCCTGTAAATGATATGCAGATGATGAATGGGTGGGGAGTCGGTCTGTGAGAAGGATGATGTGTTTGGTTTTGGGCATGCTGAGTCAATCAAAAGCTGACAATCCAGCCTGGCAGAACAGTAGACACCAGCATGTATTGGGTAAGTGGAACTTGCGAAGGGAAGCCAGGGAAGGCTTCCTGGAGGAGGCTAGGCTGAGGTCTGGGTTTTCTTAATAAGAAATGGTCATGGATGTGGGTGTTGCTCTCAACTCAGGACAACTCATGACTCACTGATTCAAGTCCTCCATGGTCCCTGACCGACCCTGAGAAATACTCCTGCCCCATCTATGTCTTTTTTCTCTCTTTTTATCTCTGTCTTCCTGGGAGCCCAGATGTCTGATACACAATCTCTCTGATAGGATCTCCTCTGCCTTTGTTGTTGTTATGTGTTGTCAAGTATCACTACAGAAGTAGATTGCCCAGCCTTCCTTCTGAGGAGTGGCAGGTGGATTTGAACTGCCAGCCTTCTGGTTAGCAGTCAAATGCCTTAGGCACTATGCTACCAGAGCTTTGGCCTTTAGGTGGTACAAACAGTTAATGTGGTTGGATGGTAACTGAAAGATTGGAGGTTCAAGTCCACCCAGAGCTGCCTCAGAAGAAAAGTAATCTACTTCTGAAAACACAACACTGAAAACTCTATGGAGCACAGTTCTACTGTGACCCAGATGGGGTCACTATAAGTTGGAGTCAACTCCATGGCAACTGGTTTTGGGTTGGGGCCCCTCTTGGTGGGTTTTATTTTCTGAGGATGAGTCTGGGAACTGGTGTCCTGAGCTTATGGTGACAGATTTAAGAGAAGGATGAGAAATCATCTATGCTCTCATTGTCAAGTGACTAGGGTAGTCATTCAAGGGACTTGGTTTGGTTCCTATCCCCAACCTAGGTCTGTGTGACAAACCAGGTGAGCAACGTCTGGGGGGCTGAGCCCAGGAGCTGCTCGGTTCTGAGCAGTTCAGAGCTGAAGCCGAGTTCTACAGGTGCTGCTCTCTGGGCTGGGTGGCTACATGCTGCCACTTCCACACCAGCCATTCCTGCCAGAGTGATGACCTAGTGTACAAAATAGCCTTGGAAAGAGCACTGGAACCCAGAGGCACAAAACCAAGACACCAAGAATATAGCCTGAGGTATTCTAGAGAGATCATCTTTGAGAAAAACAAAGCTGGTGTTGATGTCTTCCAGAACTAAGAGATAAGGTTTATAGCCATAACTTAGCAGCCATCGTTTGTCCTTCTCATTCTGGTCCTTGGGAATGGAATGTGTTCACATGATCATAAGCTTTAGCTCAACCTATTTGCTCACTGGCTCTTGTGTTGTTCAGTATTCTGAAGCTGTCCGTTCACCACTGAAGCATAAGTGATTAAATTCTTTCTTCTCTAAGTATGAGTGGATTGACTGTATATCGTGCCTGGCATGAGTTTACATTTTTGGGGACCAAGGGCTTACCCCTCAGGACCAGCTGGCCTGTTGCCACCTTTGTGCAGACGTCCACTCCTATTTCCCTCTGGGCCTTCCTATGAGCTCCCACTGTGTCTGAACTTCCCTTACTGAGGTCCTTGACCTGCTGCACTGCAGTTGTGATTTTACTCTTCTTTGTCCCCCACTAAGTGCATGCGGTTAAGTGCACCCCGTTCGAGTCCACCCAGAGGCACATCAGAAGAAAGGCCTGATGACCTGCTTCTGAAAGATCAAAAAGCCCCATCTCCATCCAATTGCCATGAGTCAGAATAGACTCAACACCAAGTATTTTGTTTTGATTGGTGGAACTTGGGAAGGGAAGTCAGGGAGGGCTTCCTGGAGGAGGCTAGGGTGAGGTCTGGGTATTCTTAATAAGAAATGGTCACGGATGTATGTATTTCTCTCAACTCAGGACAACTCATGACTCACTGATTCAAGTCCTCCATGATTCAGGGTCCCTGACTGCCCCTGAGACCTACCCCTGCCCCATCTATGTGTTGTCTCTCTCTTTTTATCTCCATCTTCCTGGAAGCCCAGATGTCTGATACACAATCTCTCTGATAGGATCCCTTCTGCCTTTGTTGTTGTTGTTATGTGACCTCAGTCAGAACCACCTCATAGCAACCCCTCTTTGGGTTTCCAAGGCAGTGTCACTACGGAAGTAGATTGCCCAACCTTCCTTCCGCGGAGTGGCTGGTGGGTTTGAACAAGGCAAGGAATCTGTCTTGTTCATCTCTGCATCCCTACACCTGGCCCCGTGTCTGGCCCTCAGTCTGTGCTCAGCAAATACTTGAAAAGGAAGGCATGTGGGAATGGGAGCCTGCAAGATTGGAATCCCGTGACCTGGCCCTGTGCTTTCTCCATGAGGGCCATCTAGAAATCTGAAGATTTCTTCCTGCCTGTCTCACTTGAAAAATGTTTGGTTCCATCAGCAGCCTCAGTCCTTGCCCTGACTTCCTCTTGCCCTTATTTGAGATTTCTCCACCAGCTTTGCCTGCTCTGTCCTCATTTCCTCAGCCTTGAGGATGGGCCCAGTCAGGCTTATTGGGACACATACACCAGAATTGAGCTGTTTCCAGTAAACATGACCAGGTTCCAGTTCCCTCAGTTGCCCCATGTCTATCAATCTGATTACATTCTCTGCTTTTTCCCCAACTTGCTTGGCCAATTCCTGACCTTTGGAGTAGATGGCGTGTTCAAACTACTGACCTTTTGGTTAGCAGCCAAATGCCTTAATGAGTGCTCAATTAATATTTACTAAATGCTTCTGCACCGCCAGAGCTCCTCTGGTGACTAATAGACATGTACTAAGTGCTAGATCGCTGGTGGCAAACGTGTCATGTTGCATGTCAGAATCAGCTCTAGTCTCTTGGCACTGGCAAGGGTCTGGTAGAGGCTGAACAACCTCTTGCCAAAGATGTTAGACTCTATTTGGTTTACTGATTTATATTCTGTCTTATTCCAAAAATAATTTCAGGTGGCTTGAGTAATAAAATGTCCCTGGGTGGTATGTACAATTTGCACTCATCTACTATAACAACAACAACAACAACAACTGACCTAAAGGTTGGTGGTTGAACCTACCCAGCAATGGTGTAGAAGAAAGCCTTGATTCTCTACTTCCATAAAGATTACAGCCAAGAAAACCCTATGGAACAGTTTCACGGTATAACAAGTGGGATCTCAATGAGTCAGAATCAATTTAATGGCAACGGGTTTTGTTTGTTGGTTTTGATGTGATAAAGGGAATTTCTGTATTGGATAAAGAATAGGCCAAAAGTTCAATTTTGCATTCATTTATCCCCTCTGTAAATATTAATTGAGCACTCATTTAGTGCCAGGCCTTAAAAACCAAAAAATACCAAAGTCATTGCCATCGAGTTGATTCTGATTCATAGCAATCTGTATTGGGTTTCCAAGGCTGCAATTTTTTTTTTTTTTTTTATGGAAGCAGACTGCCTCATCTTTCTTCCATGGAGTGGCTGATGGATTTGAACCACTGACCTTTTGGTTAACAGCCAAATGCCTTTACCACTACCCCACCAACGCTCCTTGCACCAGGCCTTAGGGGTACAAAAATAAATATGGTCTCTGCAGTAATGGGGCTGCCATATCAAAGAAGAGACAGAAAATAGGCAGAGCAAATGCTGTGATGGAGTGAGGATAAGGATTTGGGTAGCACTGAGCAGAGAGGAATTAACCTTTTCTGCTGCCATAGTGGGTAAGGCATTTGGCTGTTAACCAGAAGGTTGATGGTTCAAACCCACCAGCTGCTCATGGGAAGACAATGAGGCAATCTACTTCTGTACAGATCTACAACTTTGGAAATCCAAGAGGGGTTGCTATGAGTTGGAACTGATGCCAGTGTTTTTTTTTTTTTTTAAAGATAGGGGTAGAAGAACCCTCATGGTGCAATAGTTAAAGCACTCATATGCTAACAAAAAAGTCGGTTGTTGGAGCCCACCAGACACTTCATGGGAGAAAGATGAGACAAGCTGCTTCTGTAAAGATTTAGAGCCTTGAAAGCTCCATGGGAGAATTCTACTTGGTCGTATAGGGTTGCTATGAGTCGGAATCGACTGGACAGCAATGGGTGGATAGGGGTGGGGAAGAACATCCAGGGATGAATGTGGAGGAGATGTCACCTGAACCGATCAGGAGGAATGGGTAGGACTTTACCAGAGAGAAGAGGCATTCCTGGCCATGGCAGGAAGTCGATTATGTCACATTGTATCATAAATCATCTAAATCATTCAATGCACCTAACACAGTGTGTCTCTTTGTGGGCCTCAGTTTCTTTATCTGTAAAATGGGAATTATAATAGTATATACTTCATAGGATTATCATGAAAATTAAATGACATGATGCAAGTAAAGGACTTAGAACAGTTCCCGACACACAGTGAATGACCAATAAATAACAGTTATTAGTTTTGTGGTTATTTTACTATTATTTGTTACTATTGTTGTTGTTACTGTGTAAACCAGTGCAGCTAGGCAGTAATCATGGTACACACTCACACAGTGCTTACTAGCTCTGCTCTAAGCACTTTACATTTTTTTGTGTGTGTTTGTAAACTAGTCTAGTGCCTAAGGCACTTAACTGCTAACCAGAAGGCTGGCGGTTCAAACCCACCAGCCACTCCTCGGAAGGAAGGTTGGGCAATCTATTTCCATCTTGATACTGCCTCAGAAACCCAAGGAGGGGTCGCTATGAGTGGGGTCCGACTCTATGGCACATAACAACAACAACAACAAACTTTTTATTGAAGATAATGCACATTAAGAAAAATCCACAGATCGTAAATATTTTCGATTGACTACTAATCAAAGGAGCCCTAGTGGCACAGTGGCTAAGCACTCAGCTGTGAACTGAGAGGTTGGTGGTTCAAACTCACCAGCTGCTCTAGGGATGAAAGATGTGGCAGATCTTCCTTAAAGATTGTTGTTGTTGCTAGGTCCTGTCGAGTTGAGTCCAACTCATAGCGACTCTGTGTACAACAGAACTAAATGCTGCCAGGTCCTCCGTAAAGATTGCAGCCTTGGAAATCCTATGGGGTAGTTCTACTATGTCCTATAGTGGTGCTACAAGAAGTGACTTGTTGGTAATGGGTTTGCTTTTGGTTTTTATTAATCTTTGAAGGTCCCTACGTGGCACAAACTATAGTTGCCTGCCAACACAAACGTTGGCGGTTTAAACCCACTCGATGGTACCGTAGAACAAAAGGTCTGATGATCAGCTTTCGTTAAGGTTACAGCCAGAAAAACCCTACGGAGCAGTTCTACTCTGTATCACATTGGGTCGCTATGAATCAGAATGAACATGGCGGCAACTCACAACAACCATTAATCCTGACAAAAACACTGTAAGGCAGGTTCTATTTTCAATCTCTATTTAATAATCGAGATAAATGAAGGACTGAGAGGGTAAATAGTTTACCCAAGGACACACAGTTACTAAGGAAAGCCGAAAGGACTGTGGAAACAAGGAGAGACTAATACCACCTACCTCCACAAGGGGGAGACAGTGGCCTGGAAGGGTAAGGTAAATACTTGTTGAATTCGTGGAGGAAGGAAAAGAGGAGTTTCCCCAACTGAGTTAACATTCTTCTTGGATGACTGACTGGAGCCAGGCTCTCCGGTATCCAGTCCTGGCTCTGATAAATCTCACTGGGAAACTGTGGGAACCACTTCACCTTCCTGGACCTCAGCTTTCTCATCTGGGTGGGTTCTTTGTCCTGCTTTCCCCATAGGCAAATTTTGAGGCTCTTATGAGATTAATATGGATACAAAGTGCTTTGTAACACATTAAACGTACTGCATACTTCCGTGTTGAAAGACAACTAATCTGAGTGGCATTTTGTTGAGAGGGGGACTTGCTTCTGAAACCCTGGGGGACTTACCTACATCCTCTTCTCCAAAAAGGATCTCTGATGGCATAGTGATTAAATCATTTGGCTGCTGACTAAAAGGTTGGCAGTTCAAATTCACCAGTGGCTCCATGAGAGAACGACAAGGCAGTCTGCTTCTGTAAAGATTTGTAGCCTTGGAAACCTTATGGAACAGTTCTACTCTGTCTTATAGGGTCACTATGAGTCAGAATTGATTCTGTAGCAGTGAGTTTTTTTTTTTTTGTTGTTGTTGTTGTTGTTGTTTTTTTTCTCCAAAGAATTCCCACCTCCACCACAGAGAATAGCTCCTCTCTGTAGCTGAGAGTCCTGGGATCCAAGGCACCATACTCATCCCAGAGAAGAAAGAAGGGCCCCTGCTGCTGTTTATGCAGTGTGTACAGTGGCTTAGTGCCTTGTCCAGTGTGGAGGGGCCCACCCAGCCTTCGTCTCCCAGGGGCCCAGGGCACCCCCAGCTTCACTGAGCAGGAGATTTTTGGAGGGATGTGAGAAGCAGGGTAGAAACTGATTTAGCCCTTAGCAACACACATATCCACAAAGAATCCAACTACTCACAGGAGACAACAGCAATAGTAATAGTCTTTTCATTCCTGAAGACCAGTATTTGGACAGTTGTTCTGAACCTTTTGGGGAGTTTTTGGACACTTTTGAAAATCTGCTGCAAGCCTTGAAGGAGTGTGCTTGTCTACATACACTCAAAATGATGCATTCAATTTCAATTCAGTTTCACAGGTGTGTAACCCGAAAACCACTTGCCAACCAGTCTATTGCTACTCACGTGACCCCATTTGTGTCAGAGTAGAATTGTCCTCCATATGGTTTTCAAGGCTATGACTTTTCAGAGGCAGATCACCAAGCCTTTCTTCTGATGCTCTTTTGAGTAGGTCTGAACTGTCAACTTTTCAGTTAATAGTTGAGCATTTAACTCTTTGCATCACCCAGGACCCCCTTAGAGGTGCTGAGGTACCCACAAATGTATGAGATTGGCAATGACAAGAGCATCAGTCATAGGGGAAAGGACTCAGGAGCAGGAGTCCTGGCTACACGGAGCTGTGGATGCCAGCAGCCCAGAGAAGTAGTGTTCCCCATGGCCTCTTCCTGGTCTCTGCTAGACAGGTGGGGCACTACTGCTGGGCAAACTACTACAGGGCAACTGGCTTCCTCCTTCTGCTCTTCCTCCTCCCTCCCCCTGTCAGAAATCCTCATCCTCGAAGTTATTGCCACACTCACCTGGTTGGGAAACCAGGGACTGTAGCAACCTTAGCAGAGAGCCTCTGTCTCTGAATGGCCCAAGGTCTGGGTGGTTGGGCTGACCTAACTGCTATAAAAGGGAGCTGATACTCAGCCCTGCATATCATTTGTCAAGTCTGCTTCAGGGAGAACTGGTAAGCGGTAAGCAGAACTGTTGGGGTCTGCCCCACAATCTGGGCTTCCACTAGGGAGAGTGGAATAGCTGTTTCTGAGGGAGGAAAGGAAGAAAGCTCTGGGAGGTCTGGAGCAAAGATAAAGGCCTTCTGGAGGAGAAGGAGATGGACAGAAAGCTGCTAGGGTGAGGCCCTCTTATCCCTTTTCCAATGGGTGAGAGCAGTGTGTTTCCTAAGGTAGGCCTTCTTGGGCTGGGGTAGGGGTGTAGGGAGAGCTGGCAGGCAACTGTGTTTATGTGTGTGTGGACTCTGCCCCTCCCACACCTGCATCCCACCCCATCTTATCAAAGCCACAGTCATCCCTTGGATGAGTTATTTGGATTGTGCAGGACAAGTCAGACCACTGCTTGAGGGATGAACCCTCTGTGGGTCCCCCTGGGCAGGGGCACCATCCTCACCTTGAGATTCTCCATGGGGCTCCCTTCTTCCAGGTGAGGCAAAACCTTGGACACCATGCTGACTGACTTGGAGAATGCCATGGACTCACTCATCGATGTCTACCACAAGTACTCCCTGGTGCAGGGAAATTACCATGCCCTCTACAGGGATGACTTAAAGAAACTCTTAGAGAATGAGGCCCCCACCTATTTGAAGGTGAGAAAGGTGGATGTGGCTGGGGTCTCTGCCTGGCTATGGTGATGTTGGGCCTTTGGTCCTCTCTGCTGCCCAAAGTAGACTATATGCCTCAGTTCTCTCTGAGATATTTACACTCTTGATCTTTCCCTCAATCCTGACAGAAAAAGGATGCAGACGCCTGGTTCAAAGAGTTGGATATCAATACTGACGGTGCCATTAACTTCCAGGAGTTCCTCATTATGGTGATAAAGATGGGTGTGATAGCCCATGAAGATATCCACAAAGAGTAGCTGGGCTCCTGGGCCCTGGAGCTGGCCCCTGGACATGTGTTTGCAGAATAATAAAATAATTGGTATCTGGAGCACCCTTAGTCTTTTCTTAATTTTGTCCTGTGGGATCAGCTTCCTAGGATTGAGGGAGGGTTGGAAACCCAAAGGAAGGCAAAGAACCTCAATTGCCCCCTAATCCCCCACTTCTCACAGGCCTCCAGTGCTTACTGTGAGTCTGGTTTCCTCCCTGCTTTCTCCCCAAACCATTTCTGAGTCTCTTTCAGCCCCAAGGTCATTGATTCTGCATTTAAGGATTCTAAAGGTATCCTTACCTTAGCTGATGATTTTCCTAGTTGTTTCCAAATGGGTGATTTGTGGGGATAGGGTGATGTAAGGAAAATTGGTACTGCTCTCTAAGCTAAATTTTAGTTTCCAAGCTAAATGTCTTAGATGTGACTCTTGGGAAATTATGGGGATAGCTCCATAGGAGTGTGTGTGTGTGTGTGTGTGTGTGTGCGTGCGCCAGAGAGAGGGAGAAATAGACACTGTGTGTGTGGTGCGATTGTTGTGGAAGTTTATCCTATATTAAGTAACACTAAGAGTAGATCATAGGAGCTCTGGTGGGGTAGTGGTTAACACATGCAACCACTACCCAAAATGTTGGTGGTTTGAGCCCATCAGCTGTTCTGTGGGAGACAGATGAGGTCCTCTGCTTCCATAAAGATTTACAGCCTTTGAAACCCTATGGGGCAGTTCTACTCTGCCTGTAGGTTTGCTATGAGTTGGAATCGACTTGATGACAGTGGGTTTGTTTTTTGGGTTAAAAGTAGATCATGAAGCCCTGGTGACGTAGTTGTTAAAGCACTTAGCTCAAACCCACCAGCTGTTCTATGGAAGAAAGATGTGGCAGTCTGCTTCTGCAAAAATTTATAGCCTTGGAAACCCTATGAGACGGTTCTACTCTATCCTCTTAGGTCACTATTATGAGTTAGAATTGACTCAACAACAACAGGTTTTGTTTTTGTTTTAATTTTTTAAAAATTTTTCTTTAAAGAGTAGACCGGGCTGCTGGGGCTCTGGTGGCTTAGTGCCTAAGGCATTTGACTGCTAACCAGAAGGCTGGTGGTTCAAACCCACCAGCCACCCCTTGGAAGAAAGACTGGACAATCTATATTCCGTAGAGATACCACCTCAGAAACCCAAGGAAGGGTCGCTATGAATTGGATTTGATTCAATGGCAGAGAGTTTGGTTTGGTTTCGGTTTAGACCCAGCTGCACGCTTGGATTTTGTCCTTATAGATTTTGGAAGCTTCCCACTTTACCCTTGCTTTCACCCTTCCAAATTAATTAAATAATAATTGGGAGAAGGAACAATATATTAGTAAAGCTCAACTCTAAGTTACTCAAATGCTGCCCAGTGGCATCCATGCTCTGTGTATCAGTGAAGTATCTAAAATACCTTTCTAATCATTACCTCCATGGATTAAGGCCAAAAGATGAACTGGCACCTCTCACCAGAACCCAGACCCAAACTGGGCTTCCATACTGTGGCTTGGGAAATTTTCTGCTGTCCCCACTCAGGAGATGGGGCAATGCTGTTAGTGGTGGATACCCAAAGCCAAACTAAACCCACTGCCATTGAGTCATTTGTGGCCCCATAGAATAGGGTAAATCTCTACAGAAGTAGACTACCTCATCTTTCTCCCCCAGGGCAGCTAGTGGATTTGAACCACCGACCTTTTGGTTAGTAGTAGAACGCTTCACCACTACCAGACCTCCTCCAGTAGTGGGTAATGGCTAGGGAACTGTCAACCGGAACCATTAAGCCTGTGTTTTTAACTAGGTCTGTCTGTGTACCTCTGAAATTGAGCATATCATTTTAAGTGCATGCGTATAAGCACGTTACCCATGGCTTATATAAGATTTTCAAAAGCATCCAAAAACCCCCCAAAAGATTAAGAACAATTGTCCTACAGCTGGTCTCCAGGAATGAAAGGAATATTACTATTGCTGTTTCCTGTGGGTGGTTGAACTCTGCTGGGAAGTGTGTTGCTAAAGGCTAAATGTGTTCCTATCCTGCTTCCATACCCCTCCCAAAATCTCCTGCTCTGTGCAGCTGGTGTAACCCGGGCCTCCGGCAGATGAAGGCTGGGTGGGGCCGCTCCACCCTGGACAAGGCCCTAAGCTGCTGTACATGCTGCATAAATAGTAGCACGGACTTTTCATCCCCCTCTGGGATGAGTATGGTGCCTCGGACTTTAGGAACCTGGGCTACTGAGAGGAACTTTACTCTGTGGTGGTTCTTTGGAGAAGTCAGGAGTGCTTCCTGCCCAAGAGGAGGATTCAGGATTTCAGAAGGAGCAACCTCCTTTCCTCAACAAGATACCACTCAGATTAACTGACTTCCAACACTGCTGGTTATTCACGTTAGATCACTGGGCATTTGTTGGTAGTAGACTTGAAGCTCGGTAAATGAGAAAGGTAACAGCTTAAATTTTTATTCACCAACACTTGGATTACTTTCCAGTTCTATTATCAGTTTACACATTAGTGAGAATGGTTGCCAGCCAACTGAGAGTTAAGATTAGAACTAAAAGGGGTGGGGCAATTTGGTCAAGAGAGTATGGAGAAGGACTGCCAGGGCAAGTGGGAAGGCTCAGGGCTTACTAGCTTCCTTCTCAGCTGAGGAATAGCTTTCCCTGTCCCTCAAAGCCAGTGCTTCTACCTTCCACCAAAGTCAAGAGCATAGAACATACTCTCTGCATTACAGAAATGGTGCTTATGCAGTTTTGAGAGGCACCCAGTGATATATACGTGGTACAATTTCCTCTTCGTTCTGTTGTACATTGGGTTGCAATGAGTTGGAGCCGACTCGATGTCACCTCACAAAAACAATTTCTTCTGGAGTTCCTGAATGGTGCAAATGGTTAACATGCTCAGCTGCTAACTGAAAGGCTGTAGGTTCAAGTCCATCCGTCACCTTATAAGAAAGGCCTAGCATCTAGTTCTGAAACATAAGCCATTGAATATCCTCTGGAGCATTGGTGGTTCAGTGGTAGAATTCTCACCTTCCATACCAAAGACCTGGATTGAATTCCTGGGAATGCACCTCATGCACAGCCACCATAGTCTGTTTAGAGGAGGCCTGTGTGTTGCTGTGACACTGAATAGGGTTCAGCAGAGCTTCCAGTCTAAGACAGATGAGAAAAAAAGGCCTGGTGATCTGCTTCTGAAAATCAGCTGATGAAAAATGAAGAAAACGTCCCCCAAAATCCTATGGAACACAGTTCTACTCTGACACACGTGGGTCACCATGAGTCAGTGTTGACTAAACAGCAACTGGTACTGGTATAATTTCTTCCAACACGTACTTCAAGGCTGAGCAGTGAGCCCAGATGGGGACCAAGCAAAAGAAGATGGAGAATATTCCAACAAAAGTTACAAACAAAACAAAACCTAGTCACCCTTCAAAGGAGCTCTTGTGGCTGCTAACCAAAAAATCCATGGTTTGAACCTACCAGTAGCTCCGTGGAAGAAAGACAGGACAATCTGCTTCTGTAACATTTACAGCCTTGGAAACCCACTGGAGGTCACTATGAGTTGGAATGGCAGTGAGTGGTTTTTTTTTTGAAAGTCACCTTTGGGTCTAGAATTGAACTCACTGCTGTGGCTTAACTCTAAGCCAAACAAACAAACAAACAAAAAGATAGGCCTATGAGCTGAATAACTACATCAGGGAGATGCACTCCTTAGAACAATCAACCATGGGAGGTCAGAGATCAGCAGGGAGCAATCAGTAGGGAGGCAGGAATGTGTAGGCAAGAAGGACATGGGGAAAGGGTAACCTGAGGAGGAAGTAGGAGGAGAGCTGTTACATTGTGGGAATTACAATCAGTGTCACAAAACTTGTATGAACTGTTGAATGTGAAACAAATCTGCTTTGTAAAATTTCACCCAAATCACAATAAAAAGTTATGTAAAAACAAAACAACAACAACACAAAAGGAGAATGCAACCCAATTCTGCCTCTTAATGGTCCACATTGGTGGTGGTGGTGGTGGTGGTGGTGGTAGTATGTGTGTGTCTGAATGGGTAGGTGGGGCAATTTATTCCAGTACCTTACATTCCACTTGAAAATGCATTATTGGACTTGCCGTTAATGTCTTTGTGTGCGCGCGTGTGTGTTTACTATTATTAATTCTGCTTGCCATTAGTTGAAAATCTGAGTCTGCTTTCCATCTACCTATCTACAGGGACCATGGGAAAGGTGACCACAAGTGCCCTTTGTGGTTGCACCTTAAGTGAAGGACACTGGTTATGAAGATTTGTGTCAATACCCACCTATCAACAATTGATGGCTGAAATCATGGTTGGGCAGGGGAGGAGACTCTGTCGGCACTGGAAGCCTGGAGCAAAATGTGGAGTGAGTAAGGCAATCCTTGGAAGCTTCCTGGAGGAGGCAGCATTGGAGATCATAATTTACAAACAAGATTATGCCTGTTACAGGAAGCACTGAACAGAGTCAGGCGTGGCTCGTTGCACTGAGCAAGGGGATTTGGTTTCCTGTTTCCTCAGCTACAAAAGAAGAGCAAGGCAGTGGGGAAGTTGAGAAATGGTAGTTTAGCAGGAGAACCTCATGCAATGTTTGAACCCACAAAAGAGCCCGTGGTTTACTGATTGAGGCAGATCCGGCCGCTGAGATTTCCTGGGCCTGTAAAGATGACCTCTCTGAAACCCTGGTTCTCTACCCACCCATAGCTGGGTTCCTGACTTCAGTGGTTGTGACAAAAGTCCTAAAGGGCATGGGGAAAGATCTGGAATTGGGTAATTGGTCTCTAGCAGCTGAGCAAAAGAGCTTATACCAGTGGACAAGACTTCCTTGTACATCCCTACACTTGGGAGCCAGACAGATTTAGTTGGGTCACAGATGCCAGTCCATCTTCTTGCCTCTTGACTGGGGGAATTCACTCTAAATTCCCACAGGCTGAAGAGGGAAGGCGAGGGTGCTAACACTTATTGTG